GGGCATCAGTGAGCCCCTGGATAGTCTGTGGTGCTACTTGCTGGTAGGATGCACAAATACATGATGTCCCAGAGGTTCTAAATTGGATTCAGGTCTGAGGAATGTGAGGGCCAGTCACTAGCATCAATGCCTTCATCATCCAGGAACCGGTTACACACTCTGGCCACATGAGGTCGGGCATTGTCCTGCAACAGGAAGAACCCAGGAACCAGTGCACCAGCATAAGGTCTGACAACTGCTCTGAGAATTTCATCCTGGTACCTAACAGCAGTCAGTAGCCCACTGGAAGTCATATTGTAGGCTTCCTAACATGACAGATTAAAATCTCTTAAGTTTAATTGACTTTATGTTACTGCTCAACGTCAGCAAAACTAAGAAGCTGATCACTGATTTCAGGAAGAAGGAGATAAAGACACACACTCCTGTCTACATCAGTGGAGCTGAGGTGGAGCCGGTGAACAGTTTCAGGTTACTGGGAATCAGCATCACAGAGAATCTGACATGGTCATCTCACATCTCCATGCTGGTGAAGAAAACTCAAAAATGACTGTATTTCTTAAGGAAGCTTAAGAAGGCCAAAATCCTGTGGACCTTGTACCGTATACTGTGATAGTTAAGTGTTCCCTTAATTCTTTTGAGCAGTGCATTTGTCCTCACAGTTCATGAGTTATTGACCAAAACACAAAGGATTTTATAACTAGCTGCAAAATGAAGTTTCTTTATGTGTAGAACTTGTATACCAATTTTTTATTTTATTAATGATGATGCACTGAGCACCTCTCTCCTCCTCTCCTTCTCCATCTCTATGCAACCTCATCCCATTAATGCATGTTACTAACTCGACTTCTTCTCTTTCCCATAGTTTGGCTTACTCGTCACTCTCCTCTATCTTCCTATTACTTTTTGCAGGTGTTTCTGACTCCTGTGCTGTGGGGTCTGGATCTGTGGTTGCTAGCCACCTGTTCCCCCCATGTTCCTGCTCAACACCCGCTGCTACAATTATTATTATTAGTCCTATTATTATTAATATAAGTATTTGTGACAGGGCCAGAAAATTGCAGGCGAATTATTATGCTTCTGGTGTTTTTTAATTTGTGTGCTGTGCCTTTTTACCTTTTGTGTTGTTTGTGTTTTTATTGCATGTGGTGTGTTTTAATGCATGTATTTTTAAAGTTTTACTTACTGGCTGGACTGATCTTAAACCGCACACCTCCACTGATGACATAATGACCAAATGAGCAACAGGTGTGGAAGCCGGCAACGGATTGCGACCCGTGGAGCTGCTGGGCCGTGGGACGGAGGATTCCCCAGAGGGACTGTTTGCCGTGCCGGGAGCTGCCAAATCACGGAACATTTCTCTTATTTAGCTTTTGTTTCATCTGTGGCATCACATGGGTTTTAGTTAGGCTGTTTTAAACTTATAAACATTTTTTTTTAATTGTAATTGTTAACATTTATATTAGCTTCTGTGGTTTGTTTCTGCTCTGCTCCAACCCCGATTTTTAAAGAACCTGTGTGTCTGTGAGTCCTAGGGCTCATTCCCTAGGTGGCGTTGTCGGCGAGCCCTCGCAACTTATTTTTTGTTAGTAATATCCTACCCTTTTAATTTCTTTTACCATGTATCCACACGTGACATATTGGTATCATTATTAGTACTATTAATTTTTCTGTCTGTACCACTACCACCTTTACGGTTTTTGTATTTCTGTGTAGATATTGTGTTTGCTGCTTCTCTCTCACTCCTTGTCCACCTGTGCAATGAGAACTCTTATGAATTGGCGCTATATAACTGAATGTGGTTCTCAAACTGTGGAGTGAGTGGAACTAAGTTGAATATGATTTAAATAAAAAACAAGAGCTTGCTGATACTATCGTGCTGACCTGAATCATTTCTTTTATATCTAACTCCAGCTAATAACCAAACCTGACCCTACGTTGATCCCCAACAAAAGTATTAACACTAAAAAGGGAGACGTCTTAATTGCTAAACATATCTTATAACTAATCAGACACTGCTTTGTCTGTTTGTGGGATCTGAAACAAGTCATAGGGATGGAGTCAAACCCCGCACCATGTGTGAGCGTTGGATTCAAAGCATTATCTCTCATCTGGGACAGCAACATGGTCAAACCAATGGTTAGACATGCATGTGTGGCCAGAGAGAGCTTCCGAGCAGCTCCAGGACTGCTTCAGTAGCACTGACTGCGCTGTATTTGACAAACAACATAGTCTATAACAGATGGCAGGTAAACATGGGGATTGAGAAGGGGTGTTAGTGCCTCTGGCTCCATGAAGTAAACGGGCATAACAGCTCATGGATGTGTAGGGGTGATCATTTTGTGGGATTGGACAGTTAGCTTTGACATCTTTTTTTTTTGGGGGGGGGGGGGGGGTATTTTGCCTTTATTGGATAGAAAAAGTGGATAGTGGTAGTATTGAGAGGGGGGAGCACCACAGGTCATATTCGAAACCCCAGCCGCTGCAGTAAGGGCTCAGCCTTGTACATGGGGTACACGCTCTACCAGGTGCTACAGCTTTAACACATCTTCAACGTGGCACCTCTGTCTGCATGTTTACCAAACATTTTTGCTGGCCATCCATCCATCGTCAACCGCTTATCCCACGTACAGGGGGCTGGAGCCAATCCCAGCTGACATTGGGCGAAAGGCTTTACATGTTGTGGTGCTACAGAATCTCCCCACTACCTTGTGTTCTTTTGTTCCCCCCTTCCCTGTGTTTTCTGTCTGTCCTCCCTGTCTGTGTTTGTCTGGGCGTGGCTACACTCTCTGGCTCCAGCGGCGCACCTGGTCCTCACACTAATCAAGCTCCTGCAGTATTTCAACCCCGGTCCTCCTCACATTCTTCGCCAGATCGTCAGTTAACCACATGTGGTACATGCGTCAAGGCTAACTATCTTCTCCAGTAAGATTCCTTGTAATTTCTGTCTCTCCCTGGATTAACCTGTTTTTCTCTGTGCCCAGGATCACACTACCTCCGGGAACCCTGCTGAACGCCACACCCTGCTCTGCTCACATCTTGCCTAGACTAACTCCCCTCCTCCGTGTTGTTCATTCTGCCCTGTTGGCACCAACCACCCAGTCCTCCGTTGCACCTTTCAATAAAACCCCTTTGTTACCCCTTCGAACTGTTCCGAGTCTGCCTTTGAGTCCTCAAGTTTTTGCATCATGACATTACAGCTATCAACCCGCACTGGCACAAGACTTTTCCCTGGCATTAAATGTTGTTGCTTCCAAAGCCTATAACAATGTGTTGTTAGAACGGTGGACTCTTGTTAACATAGCCAGTCGTACAGAAATGGCAACACCTCTATATACAAGGTTGTAGCTTTTTATAAGGTACTTTTGTAAAGCAGATTGCTGGTGTGTGTGTGTTCACATCTCCAGTATAAACAGTGGAAAGTGAAATGTGCAGAGGGGAGGGTTGAATTGGCAAAGCACCCGTCAGAAGTATCAATAGAGAGGAGACAGCTGGCGCCATCTCTCTGTGTTCCCCCCTTTCTCTTTTACTTGCTTTCTCACACCACAGCAACACTTTCAGATTGTGTGAGATATACACTTTCTGAAAGTCACTGTTTCTCCCATTACTCACCCGCTGATTTTTTCTCACTTTTCAAAGTTTTTTCTTGTCTTTCCTCTTAGTCATCTTGACCTCTTTTCACCCCTAAATTTGTTTCAAGCCCTTTCCTCCTCCCTCCTTTTCCTTGGCATCGGTCCACAGGTGGAAAATGTCCAGCAGCAGCTTTGGCCGTAGCCCATGGAGTTGCTGACTTTATCACCATGGTAGCTCTTTATCACCATGGAAGCTGCCTATCCTTGCAGTGACCAGTGTCCTGTTACCTGGTCCTGGTCCAGCTGGCATGTGTGTAGACATAAATACTGCCTCGCCATTGGAGAGGATTCGCCAAGGGCTTCCCCCATTTACTGTACTTTCCTCATTTTACTTTAAAGGTAAATTAATTTCATGAAAATGTTACAAAACAGCTGTTGTGTTTTAACTTTGAAGGGAGTTTTAAATGAATGTGCAGACACTAATTCAAAGTGTTTTTTGAGTGTACTCATCTGTAATGTAACCACATTTATATAGTCTTCTGTTAATACGATCTGGAAACTTCCCAAATGTACTGCATTTTCTGCACTTCCATGCTCATCACATCAAGAAATCTGAAGAGACACAAAATGTCAGGGGGCACCGCAAGAGAAAGTTTTCGACTCGCTGCGAATCAACTCTGCCCAGCTGATGCGACACCAGCGAACACTGTGATAGTACTAAGTGCACCCACCTCGTGATGTGAGCGGCTGTAAGTCGTGTGACAGAGTAGTTACGCTAGTAGTTTTGCAATATAACTCCAATACTGTCAGGGCCAGACATGCACAAACAGAACGTGGACTAAACTTTACTAGAGTAAACAGTAGTCAGGTCATTTACACATAACAGTTCACACAAACACAAGCAGGTGGGTGCCAAATACTCTGTATACATCACACAAACAGATACTGAGGCCAACTGACAAACAAGCACATTTAATAGTGACAAAACCATTTAAATGCCTAAAAAATTCAGATACAAGCACACTCAAATACATACACACACAAGTACCTTCCATAGTCCTCTTTCCAACCCAATGCATTCAAACTCACACGAACACAACAACTAATATGGCATCCTCTCCCGACTTCTTTATCTTTCTTAAACAACCCGACCACCACTTCCTTCTCCAAAGTATACACGCACTGACCTCCTTTTTGGTATAGTCCATCCCCAAATTTCTATTGCTACATCAGTGTTACATCTAACTTATGTAAAAAAGAAAAAATAACAACTCCCAAACATGTACAGACACTGTGCCATCTTTACACACTAGATGACCATCTCCATATTCATCTCCTGTACAAATGAACAGGGCAAAAAACAGGTGTCCACTCCCACTTCTACACACACAGAGCTCTCAAATCATTCTAACACACAGCGTTTTTCCCTACCATCTTTGCGGTAAAGGTTGATCTCCACTTTCCTCTCCTCTGACCCCAGCAGGGCCTGAGCCATCTGAGCGATGGCCAGTCGCTTGGTATCGGGTCCATACAGGAAGTTACACGTGCATGGCTTCTGCATGATCTCAGCACGTGAGAAACCACACATGTGGCAGAAGCCATCATTGCAGAAGATGATGGCGCAGTTCTCCACTCTTGCATTGGCAATGACGAACTTACGACCTGTGGATAGAATGAGAAAAATTTACTTTAGTTTTCACCAAGACAGCAACACCAACACCCAATTAATTGTACTAAAGTGTGTGACAGAGAAACAAATGAACAAATTAACCCTCCCATTTTTCTTAGCTTGGGACCGGCAATTAGGAATGCACTTGTGCTGGGGAGCACCCGTTATTCAGTGTCTTGCCCAAGGACACTTCAACACATGGACAGGAGGAGGTGGGGATTGAACCACCAACCCTGTGATCAGCCACTCTATCACCTGAGCCACAGCTGCCCCCTCACAAAAGCTTTTACAGTGAATAAAATACAATGTAGTTGTCAATTAACACAATCTCAAACATCATATTTACATGTCATCAATTACTGTTCAGAATCAGATTTATTGCCAAGTAAGTTTACACATACATTTGCTTTGGTGATTTGGTGCTTAACAATAAACATAGCAACTTAATGAGAATGATCATTTATGTCCATATTGCTAGAGGCAGGCCTTTTTAACTTATGAAGAGCGGAATACTAACAGTTTAAATTGCAATCAACATGAAAGCCAACAAATGTAGGTAGTCAGTGTAAATCATATGTTTGTTGTATAAAGAAGTGTGTATGAAATACAGCTTTATCATACAGTATTAAAATAGAAAATTATGATGTGACAATGCTGTGATGGAAAATATCCTGACATTGATGGGAAACGCCTTTCTCATAGCATTTTGACTTTTCAAAGCTGGAAATCGCAGGTGTCATCAGTACTATTAATATTGTTAGCATTCCAATTAGTCTAACCAATTCCGGGGTTAGCTAACTTACTGAGACACCTTCATGGAATGGAAAGTTATTAGAAGCAGCTGTGACAAGTCAAAATGTCTGCTTGGAAAAAGGTCTATGAAATCAATATTTCTTGGGGACAATTTAATTAAGTACCTTAAAACTCAGTAAAATAAGAATTATATTGAATATTTTCAGAGAAAATATTTTTATTATAAGTCCAGTTAGTAAGGAATGCTAATTACTCTTTCAAGGTGACGGAATCCCTTTGCATTATAGTCAGCTATAATAGCTCATTTTCAAACCTAATAAACCTATGCAAAGAAAGCAGTTGAGTATCAATCAAAAACAAAATTAAATGAAACATTCACAAACCTTGTGGCCTTATCAGCCATATGCTAAACAATATTAAAATATTAAAAATATTTCTTTTTGGAAGACATTTTTACAAGCTAGTCACTTTCGTGCTTGTTTTCAAGCATTTTAGCTTTCTGCTGTCAAAAGGTCCGTTTTCAAAATAAATCTGAAGCAACACAATAAATCCTTCTAATAATATAAGTAAGAATTCATAAAAACTTAATAAAGATGTTTTTGAGTATACCAGATTGTGAATATGATTTAAACATTGATGGACTATTATTTCCTGAGCTGTATAATATTATCAACAGAAGTCTTCTCTTCTGCAACTCACCTTAATGCCCGTGCGTGTGCCCATAGGTTTGCATATGTGTGTTTATTATAGCCGCAACGTTGTGTAGCTGGTCTCCCACAAAGCTCTAATGTGTGTCTCTCTCTAAACCACTTACTGTAGAACAAACTATTTAGCTCCATGACCTCAGCTCAATGTATCTGGATGATCTTAATGTACTCAGAGAGCTGCCTGAACACACACACACACACAAACTTGCACATACTCACTTACCCAGCACACTGACTCTCTGCTTTCAATACATAGTGAATAAACTACACGTCCAGTTTATGAATCTCCTGTGTCTCGTAGGAACACATAGAAACAACATAAATGTGTGCATTGGGTTAACAGTCTATCAGGCTGATAGATGGCCTCCACTAAAGAGCTTTAAGCTTCTGAAGAGCCCCAATGTTCCCTGTTACTTTTACTTAGTACTGGGCCCCACAGTTAGTAATACAACACTCACAAATAATGGATAGAGAGAAGGTGGAAAGCCTGATGACAGAAAATGGTGGGTGAGACAGAAAGGGGGCTGGATGAGAATAGATAAACAGATCCCTTTTGGAAGGAAGAATTCAATTCAATTTTAATATCTGAGCGCTAAACAGGAGATGAATTGAGAAAGGGATGGATAGAGAATGTGAAATAAGTGAACCAGAAGTAAGATAATGAATGGAGGAAGATTTGGAGATAAAGATAAAGCAGATTGGGGATATCTGTCTAGGGATGGAAAGCGCAGGAAGAATGTGACCACATTTCTCAGCAATTAGCCTGCATGTACACAGTAAACAGTAACTGTACAGGAGACTGTGGTGAAAAACCCGTCACTTTTTCTCCAAAGCTATGTCAGAACATTTCATTCTGTGGCTGTGAATTCCGTTTAATTCAATTAAATAAATTTTTAAAAAGAACTTTATTTATCCCTGTGTGGGATAGTGCATGTAACGGCTTGCCATCCAGATCACCAGATGCACAAAAAATTGGTGAAGCTAAAACGACGAAAGGCTTTAAGCTTAAAAACTATATGTAGAACGGTTAATGCATTTATGAATAAATAAATATATATTAAAAAACAATATTTTAAAAAATTAAATATATACACATATACACACACACACACACACATCATATATACATCATATATATATTTATTTAAAAAAAAGTAATAAGGCCTTAAAGCCACAAACAATAATTAAACATTGAGCATAATGGCAAGCATTATATTTCATTACCAAGTTTGCAGTTTAAGATGTTAAAAAGAGCAGAGTTCTGAAGAATCACTGGTATCTGCAAGTTTCTGGGTGTATTTCCTCATCCAGCAAGATACTATTCGCCGCTATTGACTATAAACAACATCCTCTTGCTTTGAGAAAACAGTTCTTCAAAGTAATCAGTAAGACAAAATATTGTTGAAGTACAGAGGCCTTTGTAGCAATAAAAAATTATAATTATAAACAATATCCATGGACTTGGATGAGCCCCTTGAAGCGAAACACTTTGGATGGGCGGCTGTTAGTCAGGTGTAACCACACCAGGACCTGCCCTGCCCATGTACAACTATCAGGTAACAGCCAGGAGGAGATATGTTGTTTTGTTATCAAGTCACCGTTTATTCCACTTTACTTTTTCTGGGTCACACACAATCCTAATATTGATTGGACTTTTACTAAAATAACCAGCTGGGGCCTCACTTGCCATGTTCGTTGTCTGCAATCTACCCTGCCTCAGTTTCCAACCAGGTTTCCAGTCTTGAGTCAATAAAGATTCATTTGAAAGAAGCTTATTTGCTTGCAGTGCTAGCTAGTTGCATTGCATTTTCAGTTGCTCTTTTTGCCACTTTGCACAGGCGCAGTGAGACAGGGACTGATCGTGGGGAGTCAACTTGTGAAAGTGCTTCAAATGTGCGAGAGCTAACCAAAGTTTTATTGACGTCTGCTCACGAATGACCAGTTAATCGGCTCCTCGCTCCCCCCGTACACAGAAACAGGCTTAAATGGTACAGTAAATGCCCAATTTTTCAGAGGACCCATCAGAATCAAATTGAATGATCCCAAAATACCAGTCAATACTATGAGTGCTATGCACTACATCAGGCTATGCCATTGTAAATCTGTAAGACCAATAGGATTGATCAGCCAGCTTGATTCACTAACAATACAATCACTACAATCTGCCAAGACCTGTTGTTTTGAAATCAGGAAATACATGAATAAATACAAGACCCCTAAAATGTATTTACAGATACAGTAGACACTACAGCAGGAGTCTTAACACTCTTTCAAGAAGAGGAAGAGAGTTCATCAGTAAATCAATGAGGTGATCAGTTGGAAATGCAAACCTGCAGACTGCTGGCTCTCAATGGCATATAGTTGGCCACCACTGCACTACAGCAAGGCTGTCCAAAGTCACTCCTTTATTCCCTCATTCACTACTGCCTATATAAGAGACACTCAATAGTTTACTACGCCATCACTGACCAAAAACTGACTTTGTCCATTTTATTCAACATAAAGTGAAAATCAATCAGCACAGTGCTCTAGAATGAAAATATCTGTGACCTTTTCTCCCTGGTACTGAGCACACAATTCTCACATTCTCTTCCTCCTTCCTTCATAAAACAGGCTTATCATCTATCAAAGCTGCAAGCTGTTGTCGTGGGAGACTTAAACTGGTGGAAGGGCCTGTTCAGATATTCATGGGAACAGTGGAGATAGGTTGTGTGGTGTGAATGGGCTTGATAGCAATGCCTCCATGAATTAGTAGCAGCAGCAGCCCTCAGTGGGTCATAAAGCTTGATGGGTTTGTCTGGCTGCGATGAGCAGAAGGTAATACAAACACAGAGATGTCTGTGGAGACATTTAATTTCCCAGCCTTTGATTTAGTGGTCACTGATAATGGCCAAAAGAACCAAGTAGATGTTTTTTTCCCAAGCTGTTTAAAGGTTCTATCTGAAATTTTCAGAAAATCCTTGTTTTTAAAGATTACCATTGGCCATTAACTGAGCTGCAGTCAATGTCATATTGCTCTCTCCAGCTTTCAGTCTAGCTCTGGCGGTGCTGTATACTTCCTTGCCAACTGACCCCTGCTGCGGTCAGTTGGCAAAAGCAGCCTTTTTGGCTCAGGATAGCGCCCTCACTTCTCCATTCACCCATGCTTTCTGGTTGAGGAATGATTTTATTGTCTGATTAATTTTACATTTCCTGATGTATGATGTCACTGATAATGTATATTCCTCAAGAGAGTGATGTAGTTTTCCTGGGTGGCAGCCTCTCTATGAACATGTGCCAGTATGTGCACTCAAAACAGTCCTGTAGAGCTGCTGTAGCCTCATCTGTCCACACCAAAATCACCCGAATTAAGACCAAGACAAGAGTGTATTAGGGCTGCACGATTATGGCCAAAATGATAATTATTTTTTATCTATATTGAGATCATGATTATTTATCACGATTATTCATTGATTTAAGGAAGACATTTTTATTTTACTTTCAAATGTAAATAAACAGGCAACTGCTTTGACATTCATGTTGTGCTGGATTTC